TTGTGGTCGTCCAGCCCGGAGGCGTGGACGTTGTTGACCACATGCCCACCCCTTAGAATGTACCGAAAACAAGCGACCTTCGCCCACCTCTTGGTCGAGGTGTTCCGTAAGCGAAGGACTTTGGTCTTGTCACTTGCCCACCCTAAGGGATGTTCCGGAAACATTGTGGTCGTCCAGCCCGGAGGCGTGGACGTTGTTGACCACATGCCCACCCCTTAGAATGTACCGAAAACAAGCGACCTTCGCCCACCTCTTGGTCGGGTGTTCCATAAACGAAGGACTTTGGTCTTGTCACTTGCCCACCCTAAGGGATGTTCCGAAAACATTGTGGTCGTCCAGCCCGGAGGCGTGGACGTTGTTGACCACATGCCCACCCCTTAGAATGTACCGAAAACAAGCGACCTTCGCCCACCTCTTGGTCGAGGTGTTCCATAAACGAAGGACTTTGGTCTTGTTTAAGGGAATCATCGTGTTATGAGCATGTAGAGTATGTAGTGTTGTTGAGTGCACCAAATGGAGCTTGTATGAAATCAGATTCGCAACGTGTTAATGACGCTAGTAGAGACATCTTCTTATAGAAATCGATCATTTTGATAACTCCCCATAAGAGGCTTACAATGATTGAACTGCTCGAATACATAAAATAGTTTACACATAGTATTTTTTAAGATTAGCTACATTCCACGACCTAGCCAGCGACCTGCCTTCAGCGTCCTTCAGAGAGTATGCTCCTCCTGCATGTACTTTTTCGACCAAGTACGGCCCTTCCCAATTGAGTTCTAACTTTCCCACATGCTTGAGCACATCTACTCTTTTCCACACCAGGTCTCCTACTTGAAACCGGCGGATCTTCACTTTTCGGTCATGTGCCGCCCTCATCCTTTGCTTGTATGCCTCAACCCTGGTCGAGGCTTGTTCTCTGAGTTCTTCGATAGTGTCTAGGGCGGTCAGCATGAGTTCTTCATTTTGCTCTTGATCATAAGTGCTCGATCGTTGAGACTGCAGTTCTAATTCCACTGGTAGAAGCGCTTCCATCCCATATACCAGGCTAAAGGGCATTTCGCCAGTGGTCGACCTTGGAGTGGTCCTATACGCCCAGAGCACAGATGTCAGCTCGTCGACCCATGCTCCTGAAGCTTTTTCCAGCCTTGTTTTAAGTCCGTTTAGGATGATCCTGTTGGTCACCTCTACCTGTCCGTTGGCCTGTGGATGTGCGACAGAAGCGAAATGCTGCTCGATACCCATTTCCTCGCACCACGCTCTTATCCGCTTACCATTGAATTGCGTTCCATTATCAGATATCAGGATTTTAGGGACTCCAAACCGACAGCAAATGTTATTATACAGGAACTGGACCACTTTTTCTCTGTAATTTTGGCCAACGGTTCAGCTTCCACCCATTTCGTGAAGTAGTCGACCGCCACGATCAAAAATTTTCGTTGCCCTGTTGCTTGTGGCATTGGTCCTACTAGGTCGATGCCCCACTGTGCAAACGGAATAGGTGCGCTCATTGTAGTCATTGTCTCCGCTGGTTGGTGTATGAGCGGGCCGTGTTTCTGGCACTGCATACACCTCCTGGCCATTTCCTTAGCATCCGCTTTCATTGTCGGCCAGAAGTAGCCTGCTCTTAAGATCTTTGCAGTCATGGCCCCGGCTTTGCTATGATCGCCACAATATCCCTCGTGCACTTCTCGTAGAACGTACCGACCCTCCTCTTTGGATACACATCTCAAATGCGGACCTGCATATGATCGTTTATAGAGAACCCCACCTTGCTCGAAGAACCTCCTCACTACCTTTGTGGTCCCTTCCCGTAACTCCTTCAGGATTGGGGCCCTCCAGTCTTCTACCTCCTCGATCTCCGCCACCTCGACTTCCGTCGCGCTCCTCTCCATGTGAAGTAGAGTCACACTCCTACTCTTACAATCGACCAAGCTTTGTGCGATTTTAGACAGTAAATCAGCCTGACCATTCTCTCCTCGGGGTATTTGTATTAATTCGAATGTCCCAAATTCTTCCTTCAACTTTTTTATGTTATCCACATGACGTTGCAGCCGATCTTCTTTGATCTCAAAACCTTCTTGGAATTGACCGACCACCAACTGCGAGTTAGAATGGACCTGGATTCTTCGAGCACCTCCGGCCAGAGCCAATTGTAATCCCTTTGTCACCGCTTCATATTCTGCCTCGTTGTTTGATACTCGAAACCCCATCTTGACAGCGAACTCTAAATAATCCCCTTTGGGTGAAATCAAGACTATTCCCAAGCCAGCCCCGCTCCTCGATACCGAACCATCTGCGAATAACTGCCACATTCCTCCGCCATCTTCCTCCTCCTTTGTACCTTCCTGTATGAAATCGGCCAACACCTGCCCTTTGATCGCCTTTCTTGGTTCATATTTTATAGAGTACTCGCTCAGCTCGACCGCCCACTTTACTAGTCGACCAGACACTGCTGGTCGACCTAAAGTCTGCTCCAACGGCATGTTTGTGCGCACCTTGACTTTGTGGTTCAGGAAGTATGGCATCAGCTTCCGAACTGTCACGACCACCGCCAGTGCACATTTCTCAATTTCCGAGTACCTCAACTCTGCTCCTTGCATTACCCGACTGACATAATAAATTGGGAATTGTGCCACTCTTTCTTCTCGTAATAATACTGAGCTTACAGCACTCTCGCCCACCGATATGTAGAGCACGAGCTCCTCTCCGTGAATTGGCTTGGCCAATAAGGGCAAGTTAGCCAGCGTCCTCTGCAACTCCTCGAAGGCTTTTTGGGCTTCCTTTGTCCACTGAAATTTCGAGCTTTTCTTCAGGGTTTTGAACAAAGGGCTGCTCTTTTCGGCCACCTTGGAAATGAATCTGCTTAGGCCCGCTATCCGACCAGTTAGTATTTGGACCTCCTTCACATTAGCCAGTGGCTTCATTTCGATCACCGCTTTTACTTTTTCAGGATTCACCTCTATCCCTCGCTTTGTCACCATGTACCCCAAGAACTTTCCCGACTTTACCCCGAACGAGCACTTAGCCGGGTTGAGCTTCATGCCAAACCTCCTTAATGTCTGGAAGGTCTCCCTCAGGTCAGCCGCGTGGTCGTCCTCCTTCTTGCTTTTCACCAGCATGTCGTCGACATACACCTCCATATTCCTCCCCAACTGGTCTTTGAAAATTTGGTCGACGAGACGTTGGTAGGTGGCCCCGGCATTCTTTAGTCCGAATGGCATGACTACATAGCAATAAGTGCCCTTGCTTGTTATGAAACTCACCCTCTTCCAGTCTTCCTTTGCTAAGGGGATCTGGTGATATCCCTGAGAGGCGTCCATCAGGCTAAGCAACTCGCATCCTGCCGTGGAGTCCACCAGCTGGTCGATCCTTGGCAGCGGGTAAAGATCTTTCGGGCAAGCCTTGTTTAGATCACGGAAATCGATGCACATCCTCCACTTCCCTCCTGATTTGGACACCATGACTGTATTGGATAACCACTCGGGGAACTGAATCTTTTTAATGTGTCCAGCGTTCAACAGCTTGTCGACCTCCTGCTCGATGATTTTGTCCATCTCCGCACCATGATGCCTTCTCTTTTGCTTCACCGGTTTGACACTAAGATCAATGTTAAGTCTGTGCTCAATCACACTGGCCTCGATCCCTGTCAGCTCGTCCGTTGTATACGCGAAGATGTCAGTAAATTCCCTTATTAAATTGATCAACTTCGACCTGACCGGCTCCCCCAAATCTTTTCCGATTCTGAATTTTCGGTCATCGCATCCCTGCACCATTTGAATTTCCTCAATCTCCTCTCCGGGCTGTATATCTATCTTCTCCTTCCCCTTATCTTGTCCTCCTCTCTCCTCTTTCGACCGTGATCCTCCTGGTCGATCAGGCCTCACCTCTTTACCTTTCAACTGCCTCTCCGCCATCTGCTTGTTGTTACTGACTGTGGTCTGGTAGCAACTCCTCGACGTGAGTTGGTCCCCTGCAACCTCGCCTACATTTTCCCCCACAGGATACTTGATCGTCATGTGGTAGGTAGACACGACTGCTTGGAACGCGTTTAAACCTGTCCGTCCTAGAATGATATTGTAAGACGATTCTGCTCCGACCACCACAAACCGGATCATTCTCACTTTCCTCGAGTCACCTGACCCCAATGCTACGGTCAGGCTCACTTCTCCCATTGGCATTATCTCCCCACCATTAAACCCGTATAAGGCCGTCGCCACCGGTTTTAATTCCAGATTCAAGTGCTTGTTGATCTGCGCGAAACAATCATAGAACATCACGTCGACCGAACTCCCCGTGTCGATGAACACTCTTTTTACATCGAACCCTGCCACTTCGGCCGTGATGACCAGTGCGTCATTGTGGGGTAACGAGACTCCTTCCGCATCTTCTGCTCGAAAACTTATCACCGGCATCCGACCAGTTATCCCGACTTCCTCTCTTTTACGCTTCACCGCCCGCACGTGCCCCTTTCGTGCATTATTTGAATCCCCATCCGTTGGTCCTCCCGAGATCATGTAGATCGTGCCCTTTTTCACAGGCACCTCCTCCCTCGGGTCTGGCGGTGCGCAGGCGCAGCCGTGGATGAGTGGCGGAGTCGCGACGAGGAGGAGTGAAACTGAGGGCTGCAGCTGGGGCGATAGGATTGGCGGCGAAGAGTGAAGTCGAGGTTGTGGTGGTGGGATTGGCGGCAAGAAGGAGTGAAATCGGTGCCCGACGGGACAATGAAGCAGGTGTCTGCTTGGTTTGCTTGAAGGCTGAAACCGTGAATGGCTTGAAGGCTGAAATTGTGAACTGGGATTTGGGGGATGAGTGTCGACTGGGCCAAAATTGAGGACAATCTTTTTTTTTTTTTGTCTTTTAGTTGTTTTTATTAGGGTGCAAAGTGTAAATGAATTGATGTAGAGAGTGAGCCAAAAGAAAAGGAAAAGTAATGGATTTTAAGTTTTTGGGCTTTTTGTTGGGGCTAATTTAAATAAGTGGGCTAGTTGGAAAACTACATGGGGCTATATAACCAAAATTATGTAAAATGTATTTTTTTTTTTTTTACCTAGGGCTGGAGCCTGTCCCAGCCCATGGGTGGCTCCGCCACTGCTCCCAATCCTCTCTTTATCAATGTTTTTCTACTTTTTATTTTTATTTATTTTTTAATAATTTTTTTAGCAAAATCTATGAATTCTGAAGTAGGAGAAAAATTTTATGTGGAGTTGGGGGAGTATTATGTCACATGAGATTTTTTTTTTCCTGATCTACATTCAGTTTTTATTCATATAAATATAAGATACAATTTTTTGTTGGTCAGTTGTGATTTAATCCCAAGTTTTATTCCAAGCACATGATTCAGTTTCTCATATGGAAGAGATAAAGCAGCCACACCATTTTCAATGTTTTTCTAGTTTTTATTTTTATTTATTTTTTAATAATTTTTTTTATCAAAGTCTATGAATTCTGAAGTAGGAGAAAAATTTTATGTGGAGTTGGGGGAGTATTATGTCACATGAGATTTTTTTTTTCCTGATCTACATTCAGTTTTTATTCATATAAATATAAGATACAAATTTTTGTTGGTCAGTTGTGATTTAATCCCACGTTTTATTCCAAGCACTTCAAGGCTTTCACCTTCTTTTGGCCGAGCAACTTCTTCAACGTCGGGATTAGCTGCCAATCCTCCCTCAATCTTGCTATTAGCCTCGGTCATCATTTTCTCGGCATACTTCAAAACAACCGCCTTTATTTCTAGTGCATACATGTCTTCAAGTCGTTAATCGACGAACACCTCAGCCAGACTTTCAATATAAACCTCAGCAAGCTTAGCCCTCTTCTCCTTCTCGACCTCTAAAATCATATCAACGAAAGCTCTAAAGAGAAGGACTTGTCTTTCTGGGCCTAGAGGAGGAAATGAAGGATCCACCATCTGTGCATCAACTCAGCTCAGGGACCATTCACAGAATTCCCGCTCATCGTCGTTAGAGGGGGGTGTGCATGCTTTTGATCTTGGGATTGAAATTGTACTTCTCGAGTTTGCGGAGTAGAAGGATCCGTAGGTCGTCAATATTATAAAGGCCCGTTGCAAATCGGTCAATGACTCACCTAAGATTGAGGCAGGTGTTCAGCTCAATATCCAACTCGGTATCATTTGACTTTTGGCTCGCCGTGTCCTCGAGGTCTTTACTGGCCTGAAGACCCGTCTTATACATTTGCTCGTTGTGATCTATCTTTTCTTTCTCAAGCCTCACCACCCGAGGTCTTTACCCGTCTCGCCGTGTTTGTTGATGATGTTCACATTCGTTTTGCAGCTGTTCTTCATGCTTTCAGAGCTCTTCATCTCAGAGCATGACGGTGTGCTCCGAGATACTCAACTGGTCAATAATTTTTTTATTTCCGGCCGACAAGAATTCATTCTCGGCCATTAAAGCAGCTATCTCCGCCTGAGCAACCTTCAACTGGTCATCCTTCTCAGTCACTTCGGCCTTCAGAGTGGTCTTTTCCTCCTCCAAAGAAGCGATTGCTCCCTCTCACAGCTCTAACTTGTCTTTTTTCTCGTTCTGGTTGTCAATATTCAAGCGGTAATCATCTTCTGCTGCAAGAAGACTTACAAAATAACGATTGAGATAAGCCTTAGCATATTCGAGTTTGTGAACACTCGACATTGATGATACGCTGGCCTCGGTCCTCAGATCCCAAGCCATCAACGGGGCTCGAGCTGCGTCCATCACATGATCCGGGTCACGATACTTGTTTGGGAGTTTGGCAACCTCCACCGACTGAAACAATGAATACCATTCCTCAATCATTCCTTTGGGAAAACTAAAGTTAGCCGCCCGCTCCTCATCCACTTTGAGAAAAGACTTATTGCCTACTTGCTGCGGGACAACTTCCTTTCCTTTTTCATGACGACCCGCGACGTGTTTCTTTTTCGTTTTTTCTTCATCAGCAACAGGGGGTTCTAAGCATACCTCTTTCTTAACTTCCTTTTCTATGGAACTTCACGCTCATTAGTATTCTCTTTTTCCACCCCGGCTTCCTCCGAGCTGGGAAACACTATTCACAAATCCGGTTGCGCAGTATCCAAAGTCCTCTCGGGCTCAGCCTGGTTAAGTGCTTATGCCATGATTACCGGAGCTGAACTCGGGGATTGCGTAGTAGGTTTCCTTGGTCCTGAGGTTCCAACAGCCGCTCCCGATGTTGTACCGATTCCGACATAGGTAGAACTACGGTCAGCTATACCTTTCCTCAAAGCTTTGACCAGTTGTTTGCGACCCATCTCGATTAACCGATGTTTCTTGTTCTTGGCAGTTTAGTACGAAGATCTTTGTTAGGGTACCGACTTCGGTAGTCTTTGGCGTTGTAAATCGACCTGACTCCAAAGTAACCGAGTAATGGATAGTAAATTGCAACAAATAGAATAAAGGATATCATCAAATCCACGACCTATTTGTTAGTGTTATATACTAAAAGCTTGGCTTTGGATGATATTATACTTTTACCATTTATGAATGAGAAACATGTTAGATTAAACAAGTTCTAGGTTCTGTTGTTTTGCATTAAATAGTGTGGGTCGTCATCGGGCGAACCGAAGATCATGCTATCAGTTACTCGCGAAACAAGAATAATTGGTTCACAACTCAGATGGACATGAACACCTCATCGTGAACGGTTGTAATGTGAACCGTACAGTTTGTCATGACTGATTAGTTGCACTAGTACATTTATGTATTGAACAGGATCCCAAAGAGGAGCAGTTCATTTTATACTGATCGTCGTAAACGAACTTGGCCTCAGTTAATTACTGCGTGCTCTTAACCCGTAAGATATTAAACAAGCATATATATATGTTGTACTTATTACTTTGATTCACATGGGTGAGGCTTAGTGAACTGGGCCAATAGACCTGCTGTCTTGGGTAATATTGCTGCATGTAGGATGTGCTGTATTTATGGTCACCATGTGCGTTAGTTTGATGATGTCTCCAGAGTGAGTTCAACATTATTATGCTAAACTCTGCATGTGGATTAAATTCCGGCATAGTAATAATGTGATGAACGAGCACTAGCTTCGGTGAAATAATAATAAATTAATTAATTCTTGATTGTCAGTAATCAAATTAATTAATGCACATCATGTCTTAAAAATGGGGAGATAAATCGAGAAATTATTATTGGAGTCTCAATTTTAAATTGGGCTAGGAAAAGGGAGTGTAATAAATATATAATATATATGATTATATAAAACAAAATAAGATGTTTCTAAACTATTTATAAATGCATTTTTTGTGAATTTTATTTTATATAAGTATTTAATATATTCAGTTAAAATATGACTAATAAATAAAAATAATTTTTTATTGTTGATTTGAAATTTATTTTTAAAATGATTTCATTTAATATAATTTAATCATGATAATATAATATATCATATGTTTGTTTGTTATTGTTATTTGTTAATTTTTTTTTTTTTTAACCGGTTCCTAAACATATGGGAATGTGAAAACTATCCATTTGCTATGGAATGACTAATCCCATATAGATGGTTTCACAATTCCCATTGGAATGGTCATTCTCTTCTATAAAATATACCAATCACGGGAATATGAATGAGTAGGGGAATGATCATTCCATTCTCTCGTCATTCCAGCATATCAATCATGCCATAAGTGAATGGAACTCCCATCCGTTTTCATTTAATAAGACTGACATTCGTCATTTTTACGTGTATTTTAGAGTAATTTTTGTGCCCATTTCATTGTAGTTTATTATTTAATTAATTATTTAATTATTTTTATTAAACTATTATGAAGGTGTTATTTTGAGCTTTAAGACGAAATATGGTTGAATTAATTTTTGGAGTCGAAAACAGTGAGAATGAAGGCAGTATGCGAGTAGTGCAGTGAGACGGATCTAGTTATATGGGCATTGGAGAAGGAAAACAGACTATTATAATCTGTTGGGCCACAAACACCATTCGCAAGGGAAGAGAAAGCCCAAATACCAATTAAATGAGGGGCTCTTGTGTAATTTGGCATTGCGTTGGAACTGAACTCTCGTTCTTCATCTTCTTCACACGCCATGTCCGCCATTTTTGCAGCTGCTGTTACTCCCTCACCTCGCCACCTCGCCGCTGCACAGACGACGGAGCTCGCCACCACGCTGCTGCCATAATGTCGCCGGAGAAGAATCTTGAAGTTGCTGTCCGCGGCAGTCGAGGAGCTGCTGCCGCGGGGCTGAGCAAGAGCTGCCGGAACTCGCCATATCCGACCACCAGAGACCGCCGGGCCGCCACGTTTCTGATCTACGCCTGAGATACGTCCATAACCGTTGAGAGCCGTCGAGAAATCGAGCATCCAAGAGGTGCAGCTGCAACTTCCGCGCGAGTGGATGTGCTTGGCCGGAAAATGGCCGGAAAACACCATGGACGGTCTCTGAATGCTTTCTGACCACATGGGACGCCGGAAAATATACCAGGAGCTTTGAAGAGGGAAGAAAACGACGTTTTTTGAGCTGTTTTGGACGCCCAAATTCACACGGGTCGTGTGGCGGCAAACACGTCTCGTTTCATTTCGACGGGTCGTCAACTTAGCTCTCGACCTTTTCACATGACTCGTGTGACTTATGACATGAGTCGTGTGACCCTGAGCGCGACCTATATGCGTTTGGCGCGTTTTTCCTATTTTTCCAATTTTTTCGACCTATTTCGACTAAAGCTCGACCCCAACTATAATTATAGCACTTGGACACATTTTTGGGAGAGTCTAGGACATATTTTAAAATCTTTGGAGAGTTTTAGAGGCTATAAACACGAGCAAGACGAGGGACAAAGCCGAGTAGAATGGATCGACGGAGTTGAATAAGCTTTTTCTT